TATTTATTTTTGTTACTGGGGATCGAACTTGGGACCTTGCACTTGTGAGGCAGGAGCAGTGCCACTGAGCTAAATCCCCGGCCCCTATTTTTTATTTTTGATGGTACTAGAGATTGAACCCAGGGGCTCCACACTGAGCTATATTCCCAGGCTTTTTAAAATTTTGAGACAGGGTCTCTCTAAGTTGCCCAGGCTGAGGACAAACTTGTGATGTTCCTACCTCAGTCTTCCAGGGTGCTGGGATTATATACATGCATGATCATGCCTGGCTTTTTTTTCTTCTTTGTGATTCACTGACTATCTTATAGCCTTGTTTTTGGTAAATCTGGCAAATACTTTTGCTTATATTTTCAATTGGCTTGCAAAAAGGATCGGAGAACTCTGACTTCTTTAAAGAGGAGGTTGGCTTTTTCAATTTGGCAAAAAATTAGAGATAGAAAAAGATAAACATAAATTCACATTCTATGTCTTGCACTAGGAGCACAGTTTCTCCTGTTATCTGAGAGATTATTTCTGATTTCGTTTTTTCCAGATCCCCTTTTGTTGCCAGTTCAGTGGGTCCAGGTGGTTGAGTATCAGAGTGTTTCATCTCATTTCCCTTTGGGGTTGCTGTAGGTGATCTGGAAGTCTGGTTTTGAGACTTATTTACATGTTTTCTTCATTTCGACTGGGGGGGGCGGGGGGGGTGCTGTTGCCGCCCGCGCGGATTACCTCCTCTGAGCTGGGAGAGGCGGGACAGGGGCTGGGAGCAGCGGTAGGGATGGTGGCCGGGAAGCCCCTTCCTCTGGACCAGGAGCAGTGGGACGGTGGCTCAGAAGCCCCTACCTCTGGGCCGGCAGCGGCGGGACTCAGTATAGTGGTCTGGTGGTCCGGTGTCCTCTGCATCTTTGTAGTGTGGAACCAGGTGGCTGTACAGAGGAGCCGGGGGGCGGGGGGGGGTGTCCATTGGATTGCTGCCGGTCGATAGGGCTCACATTCTATGTCTATTCCCTGCTCCAGCCCAGGCTTCTGAATGGGTTTTTCTTTTTCATTAACTGCAAAATATGCCCTCAAGGGATGTCTTATTGGAAGTACGTGTAACTTGGACTGAATTTATATCTGTGTCAGATAATATGTTTCTAAAGATAAGCAGCAATAGTTATTTTCAGAACTTTGTAAGAGTTGTTCCATAACTAATAAATAGATATCACTGACACACTTTCCAAAGTGGAAATAATATGAAGCTCTCATCTGATAGGGTAACAGAGGAGAGAAATCCTAGGTTTTTGCTTGGTGGTGGTGGTGGAGGAGTAATGTCAGTTTTAAAGAAAGGTCACATTTTTACTCCTCCATTAAAGCCAATTTAATTGTATGCAGCAAGTGGGTGAATGGAATTATATTTCTAGGAAGCCACACAAGGAAGTGGAAAACATGAGTTCTTGACTCAGCTCTGCTATTAACTAGCCACATTTTAACTTCTTAGTCTATAAAAGTTCCTGTGCACATTTGTAGACTGATGGAAGACACATGAAATAATAGTGATTTTAAAAATTGTGTATATAGAATTATACAAATGTGAAGTATTAAATTTGCTGCCACTTAAGGCTATCCCAGGCCTATTGGCTAAAAGTGAAGTAAGAACTTCCTGATCTAGTACAACAAGCTCAGGAGGTCTTGTCCCCAAGTAGATAAGATTTGGAATGAAACTACTTTATACAAACCTGATTTCTAAGTAGGGTTAGGTTTCGATAGAAACAGATAAGATAAGTATATTTAATATAATAAAATATATTTAATATAAAAATTTAATATAAAAAAATCCTCGATCTGCTATCAAGGATTCACAAGTAGTTCTTACTGAACACCTGTTTCTTTCAAATTCCTGAATGGCTTCCTATCTGGATCTGGAGTTCTACAGCTCCTTTCTTATAAGGTCTAATCTTTTTTTTTTTTTTTCCGGTACTGGGGATCAAACTCAGCACCTTGCACTTTCGAGGCAGGAGCAGTGCCACTGAGCTAAATCCCCGGCCCCTATAACTGTCTACTCTTGACTTGCATGTGGTAATTTTGTTTAACAGCATGCTTTTCTCTTTTGTTCTGTTCTCCCTGGGGGTCCTTTTCCCTACTTCTGCTTCTGTCCAAATATCTCAATCATGATGGCAAGGAAGGAAGAAGCTAGGTTTCTACCATTTTACTTGTATTCCATCTCAGAGCCTCACTTTCCTGGGGCAAGAAGTAAATGATTGCAGTATACCAGCTTTTCAGTGGATGATGTTGATGGTGATGAGCTGAGGGGGAGGGATTTTTCACAGTCTAGAGCTCAGCTCTCAGTTTTTGTGGTGGTTCACATTCTTCCTGGTGATTCATAGCATTACAGGATTGCTGTGAACATAGAAAATTGTATTCTATCATCTCTTTAGATATGCTGTGATTTGGCAGGGGCTGAAAGGAAATCATGCACCTGCATAACCTTTTCAGCATGACAAAGAATCATGTCTCTCCCCATGTCTTTTTCTTCCACAGGAAGTGGTCCCAGATGACAGTACAAACAAGCCCTAATTAAGTCTTTCCTTGGATCCTAAAGACATCTTCGAATTTTTTCTTGGGTTTGAAGGAGAAAGTGGAGAAACAAAATCAGGTAAAAGATTCAACTAGGGGTTGCGGGGAGAGTTCAGAGCATTGCCTAGCATGCCCCCCCCCATTAAAAAAGTTGAATTTGGGAGCTAATGATAAGACTAGGACATCTACCTTGGTAGCCCTTTGGGCAATTTAAATAGAGCAAGAGACATGGTAAATTCATGAGGGAATGAAGATGCTTTTGATGGAAAAATTGGTTGCAATTATAGGAGAACATTTTCTCAGATGATTTTGAGTTTCTTACATTTTGTCTTTTTGTCAGTAAAAAGAGAATTTCAATGCCTTTCAGTCAATGCAGTCATGCTGCATGAATTGGTCAAGGGTGGGCTGTATATACGACAGTGGTACTAAAAGATAATATCACCTCTTGATGTTGCAGCCATTTTAATTTGTGTACAATCTTTGACATTTGCCCAGTGATGGAATTGCCTAATAATACATCTCTCAGAACCTATCCCTGTCAGTAAGCCAGTTCTGTAGTGCTCTATTTTTCTGCTTCTTTAAGAAAAATAATCAGTCTGAGGTGATGTCCTTGGCTGAATATTTTCCTTCCAGCTCCTCCGGGGCCTGTTTGCTGGCTAGGCACACAATTGCACTTTTACCACCAAGGCGGGGAGCAGTAGAAGCTGGTTCCATATATTACTCATAGGGAACCTGTGCCTGGAGTCATGGAAGCTGGCCTCCTTCAGGAAGGAGAGAGCAAATCAGGCCTGGGAGGCAAGGGCCTGTCTTCCGCAGTGCTCCAGATAGCAGCAGCCTCAGGCAGCCTACCAGCCTGCCTCCGTGGCCTACTTCCTTTTGTAATTTGCACAGTAGACCAGAAGGTGGGGCTCTTGACCCTGGAGTCAAGGGCCAGCAGCACTGGCTCCACATTCCTACAGAAGGAAAAGAACATCAATTAGAGCTTCCGGGAATCACCTCTACCTCTTCAATCCTCTCCCATCCCACCCACTTCACTCCCACCCTGGCTGGGACCTGTCTTCTGGGGGAGTGGGAGATGCGGGAATATCTTCCTTTGGCCACCATTCTTGGCCTCTTGAATGATCAGTTTGCCAGGGTCAGACTAACTGGCCTCCTTGCTTCAGGGTCTTGCTCTAATTCATCCTGCCTTAATGACAGATTTCGGGGATAGCAGCATTTCTGTGGGACAAGGTGGCACAGTGACTAGAACTCTAGAGTCGAGCAGACTTGCCCCTGACCCATCTCTTCGCCTTCTCGGAGCTCTCCCCAGCCACCTCCTGTTCTGGGTGTTCTCTGGCACATAATTCCATCATACTTCTTAGTAGTTACTATAACTTGTAACCCTCTTGTTTGCTTGTTTAGTGTCTCCTCACTAAATTGTAATGCCTAAGGAGGCAAGCACCCTCTTTGTCTTTTTGCTATTTCCCCAACACCCAACACTGGGATCGATACACAGGTTCTCAGTAAATGTGTTACATATTAATAAATGAATGAATAAATTTAGCTTAATGACTGCCTGACCTTTAGAAAGTTGCTTAATTTCTCTGAGCCTCAGTTTTCTTACCAGTGAAATGTAAAAAAAGGATGGAGATACTATGACCATTGCATTAAATGACATAATGCATTTATACCAGCAACTCTTGGTTCATGGAACTGCTCCTTAAAACTTTGTCAGCGTCCTACTCTATCAGTTTGGCCACAATTTGTTTTTCAGTGCTGAGGATTGAACTCAGAAGCCTGGGTGTGCTAGGCAAGTGCTCTACCACTGAACATGTATACAGCCCTCCTTTTCTTTCTTTCTTCCTTTTTTCTTTCTTTCCTTCCTTCCTTTCTTCCTTCCTTCCTCCCTCCCCCCTTTCTTTCTTTCTTTCTTTCTTTCTTTCTTTCTTTCTTTCTTTCTTTCTTTCTCTTTCTTTCTTTCTTTCTTTCTCTTTCCTTCCTACCTTTTTTTCACTTCTTTCTTCTCTCTCTCTTTCCTTGCTACCCTTTTTTTTTTTTTTTGCCTCCCCTCCTTCCCTCCCTTCCTTTTTTGAACGGTGCCAAAAAGTTTATTTGAAAAGTGAAGGGCAAATGAGTAAGAAACTAGCTCTGCAGAGCTAACTTGGGCCAAAGAAAGAAAAAAAGAGGGTAAAAGTACATGCTGCATCTGAGAATTGCAGTTCGGGCTACCATGCAAACTCATACATGATAGCCTTTTGTTTTTGGAGACAGGGTCTTGCTATGTAGCACAGGCTGGCCTCGAACTTGTGGAGATACTCCTGCCTCAACCTTCCTTGTGCTGGGATCATAGGCATCCGCCACCATGCCCAGCCTTTCCTCCCTTCAATTTTCCCTCCCTCCCTTCCTTCTTTTTTCCTTTCTTCCCAGTTCTAGGGATTGAACTCAGGGAGCACTGAGCTATATCCCCAGACCTTTTAAAATTTTATTTTGAGGGGCTGGGGATTTAGCTCAGTGGTTCCGCTGCCTGCCTTGCAAGCACAAGGACCCAAGTTCGATCCTTGGTACCAAAAAAAATTTTTTTAATTTTGATACAAGGTTTTGCCAAATTGCCCCAGATGGGTTTGAACTTGAGCTCTTCCTGCCTCAGCCTCCCAAATAGTTGGAACTAAAGGTGTGCACCACCACGTTCAGCACTACAGTCTCTATCATAACTCTTATTTCCTACTGTTCTTAATAACTTTTTGTTTTGGCTCAGCCTATGGCTACTCCCAATGGGTCACTGTGCATTATTATTCTTAAGTCTTTACCCAACTCCCCTCTTTTAACCTTTACTCAATTGAATTTTACCTGTATTTTGAGACTTAGCTAGAATCCACATCCTCTCTGTCACCTTTTTTTTTTTCTGTCACCATCTTGAGCGCTTTAAGCCATAAAAATTATTTTTGTCTTCTGAATTATTGTAATCTTTGTTTGGAAGCCAAGCTCATTTTCCCTTTAGCCACAATCTTTTATTTTAATTAATTAAGCTTATTGGTATATTTTTGGAGTACACAACATTCACATTCATCATAGAGAATTTGTATCTGTACATGACTTATCTTGATTCTTTTTTTTCCTCATCCCTTACCCTCCCTTCAACTCCTCTTCCCTTCCTTATTTACAAAAGCTTTGTTTCCATTCTTTCCTTTTCTTTTTTTTCTTTTCCCATTCTTCCTTTCCCCCATACCCCTCCCTAGTTTCCCTTCTCATTTGAACATATTCTTCGTATTTCACAATATCTATTATACATTTTGGTCCTTATTTACACTTTTGGGTTCTCACACCAGAGAAACCATGAGATATTTGAACATATGTGTCTGATTTATTTCACTTAAGAGTTTGGTCTCAAAGTTCATCCACTTAACTAGAAACATCTCAAGCTTATCCTTCTTTATGTCAGAGGAGTACTTCATTATATAAGAAAAACATATCTTCTTTATCCATTCATCAATTAATTTGGGCTGTTTCCAAGATTTAGCTGTTACAAACTGTGCTGCTATAAACATGGGTGTGCATATATTGCTGTGGTATGATGCTTTTTTTTTCCCATTAAGTTTATTGGTACATTTTCGGTATATAATACAGTTACATTCATCATTGGGATCTTGTACCTTGACATGAGTATCATGGTTCTTATTTTTTTCCCCCTTCCCTTGCCCTCCCTTCACCCCCCCACCCTTCCCTATTTGCAAAGACCTTGTTTCCATTTTTTTCCTCTTCTCATATTTTTTCCTTTCCCTTTTTTC